GTTATCTAAAAGTTCGTGAACTAGCGCCATAAAATTTTTTGACCATTTAATGAGTATAATCTTTTCTATCTGTAAACTAAACTATAAATCATAAGTTTTACTTTGTAGTGAATTGTAAATATTTTGTAAGCAATGGTTTATCCAGGCGGCGCAACCTCGAACATGCCGAATTCTTTTTTTCACCTTAGTGTAACTGAGAAAAACTCTTCTAATATGAGCATTTGTCATCCAAAAATACCATTGATTCAATCATGTGATATGACACAATTTTTTCCGTAAAAGTTGCAATTTTTACATCATTCTGTACATTCTATGAAATATTATCGTAATTTTTATATTGAATGTCCAAACAATAAAGGGGTTAAAATGACGTCGAAAGGGGGTAGGATGTCATTTTACAACATTCTTTAAAGTTTCAGCCCCTGGAAGACCTGGCATGGACTCCCTGTTCATTTGATAAGAAGTCATCATATATTATAAGACAATTACAGTCCCTGAAACGTTCTACTTTCCCACATGAACGGTGAGCGAACGCTGAACGAACGGTGAACGAACGCTGAACGAACGCAGAGCGAACGGTGAGTGAACGATGTGTGAACGCTGAACGCAACTTGGTGAACGATGTGTGAACGGTGAACGGTGAGCGAACGCAGAACGCGAACGGAGCGCAAACGCGAACGCAAAGTGAACGGTGAACGAACAATGAACGCAAGATGAACGATATATTCGGAATGCTTCTGATCTTTTCCTTGCATTGAAACTATTTTATTGTATTATAATGTCAGGTGCAAAAAAAAAAAAAAAATAATAATAATAAATAAGTAAACAAATAAATGAATGAATAATTAAGTCAATAAAATAAATTCTCCAAAATTGTCCTCAGAAAGACGATGCATGCACATTAAATTTTTAATCACACGATTTTTATCGCATTAAAACATTGCAATTGTTGCCGAACGCTGAAGTATAAAAGATATTGTTTTTAGTTGGAAAATAAAAATGTTTATTTTTAGTTGATAACAAATCAGAGAAATCTTATGATTTATAGAATGAATTAAAATGGTTGTAACTTATATTCATATATATATATATCTCCGTGTCAAGGCCATTTCGTGTAAAGTAATGAAAAAAAAATTAATTACATTTATACGCTCGTATTTTAAATATTTAAAACAATAACATATTATGTGTCATTTCTATTTTTCATTATGATTTATTGAGCAGACGTCTACATGCATCTCTAGATGGCCGTGATTATACTCGGACAAGATCATGATGATGCAAAGATACATATTCATATTATTTGTTATAAATTCAATTTTCAAAACTTGATATTTAAGTAATATGGTGTTATAGTTTTTATTAAACAGACAAATGAGAGAGAGAGAGAGAGAGAGAGAGAGAGAGAGAGAGAGAGAGAGAGAGAGTAATATTCAGTTTTAACCCCCCCCCCCCCCCCCCGCCTTTCAGGCTTCACCAAATGTTTGTACCTATATCAAACAAAAACTCGGAAATTTTTTTCTAAATATATCAGACAGTGAAAGTAGCTTTTTTTTTAATCAACAAATCATATCCATTTGTTTGACAGTCATACTCGTTTTTTATTTTCCTGCTTCAAGTTCAAACGAAGTCCACGTGCTTGTCCTGTCAATCAAAATCATTCGACACTGTGCAGGTGTGAAAGTTTCGTCACATCGAAGACGAAGTGCGAGTATTTCCAACAAGTTATAACATTTATTTTTATCATTTCTAGATTTGATTCCAACATTTGAATAATAAATTAGTAAAATACATTAGGCATTAACACTTGAATGTGAAACATACTCTCTGCCAATTTCAAATACTACGCCGACACTTGTACATTTTGATCTACTATTGTTTTGTGACTTTTTTAGATGCATGTTTGTTTTGAGACTGAATTTTTTTTTCTAAAAAAGACCGTAGTTTTTTTTTAAAACGTTAATTAAAACAGTCTGGAAATATGGTACTATCTAAGTCACCGATTTAGGGGGAAAGGGGGGGGGGGTATTAATCATATCGATTAGCAAACATATAAAGTTACGGTGAAGAAAGTTTTTTTTTCTCTATAACTATAGACTTCACATATTACAGTAGAGAAATTCTGTAGTGCATTACATTTTAAATAAATATTTCCTTTAACCACACTATCAATTTAATTCGTTCTAAAGATAATAAATTAACAGGATATCCGCAGTACTATGTATAACTCTCAGAACTAGTACTAGTTCTATTATATTTTCCGTAGTAATTGAAAAAAAAAAACGTATTAGAAATAAATATTTTCGTAATTTTGCTGCGTAATTATTTGACTTGAATAATTATATCTCCATAAACGATTTTTCGTCTTTAACAAAACAACAAAATGTTGCAGTGCTTGAAGTATTTGCACATTGCCCTTAGTTAAATTTAATATTTCACATCGTTCTACATAGGTACAGAATGTGCTTGTAACAACATTTATTTTCCAGAGTAATTTAATAAATAACCTAACAGCTAAGTTAAAATAATAAGAAAATATTTCGTAGACATTTTTCCTCATGAAATAATGATTCTTCAAACACGATATGTTAGTTAATAAATTAAAAAAAAACTGTAACTCCTTAACTACAAAAAGATAAGTCCTTTCACTTCGGAGTTCCGAATGGCAATGAAAACTGAACGATAGGTGAACGCTGAACGCAAGGTGAACGCAAAGTGAACGGAACGAAGAGCGAACGCTGAACGCTTTGTGAACGGTGAACGCGAGCGCACGGTGAACGGTGAACGCAAAACTGTGAACGGAGAGCGAACGGTGAACGCACGGTGAACGAACGGTGAACGCACGCTGAACGAACGGTGAACGAACGGTGAGCGAACGGAAAAATGGGAAAGTAGAACGCTTCAGGGACTGTATTTGATTAACCTATGGCATAAAGAAAATAGCAGCAAAATAAAGAAAATATAAGAAGAGATCACTATCTCAACATTGTAAATAACATTGATCAGAGGAAAAGTATAAACATTTTTGCACATTATTTAAATACATGTAATTAAATATTAAAAAGGAAACAAGAATATTAACAGCCTCTTTTGAAGTCATCATTTCGCAAATTCTATCGTCGAAACAATGACATTCTCAACAAATACAATATGTCATTAAATCGAATGTTGACTGAGGTTTTTCATACAAATTATAACACTGTATAAGCCATTATTTTCACACTAAATTGTCTACGAATTTTTCCGTTTGCTCGATAATGACAAGGAGCAGACGGCGGGTGTGACCGGTCGATAGGGGATGCTCACTCCTCCAGGCACCTGATCCTAGCTCGGATGATTTTAGATTCCGTGTTTGCTTTGCTTCAAATTTGTATTGTTTCAATGAAATTTTGAGTTTGATAACTATTCGTACTGTTCATATTTCATGCAAGACATCCCCCTAAATTAAGAAGAGTGTGCTCTCAATGTTCAATATGCAGGTGGATGAAAATGAATATCATGTTTTGCTTATTTGTCCAAAAAATACAACAATGAAAGGTTACAAGGAACGGATTTTGTAGTAGTACATGTTAAAACATGTATCTTTACATTTAAATGTTCTTTTATATTTCAAAAATAAATTTCGAAAACATGCATATACATGATAATCCATGTACATGGGATCAAAATTTTATTGATTGGTGAGGACATAATTTCGTGGGTGAATCGTGCATACAGAGCTAGGATCAATGAACCGATACGTTGACTAATTATTGTTCACAAGGATGTGAATTCGTGGGTGAGGGTGACCCACGAAATCCACGAACATCATCCCCCCCCCCCCCAACAATGATGATTCCACACTATAACGTGTACATGTATGTAATGAGTGGAGGCGCTTCTTTGCATTTATTTAATAAAAATACAAACGTCCATGCTGTTGATCGGTTTGTAGAACTATAAATTTTAGGGGTTTTTTTCTTTGTGAGCAAGTTTTCCCCTACATTTGAAATGAGATAAAATCATTGTTTAAACAGATTTTATTTTTCTTTAGGCAAGAATCATAAATGGATGCTCGAATGAAGTTTTTGTTGTTTGTTTCATGGTTTATAACGGTCAGAACCAAAGGTAGGAGAAATTTTTCAAAGCAATTTATTTGCTTAAGTTTTCAGCTGTAAAGTTATATGATGAATGAGAACAATTCAATGCTTGCTTTTAGATAAAGGATTTCTGAAGGTCTCTAGATCTAAACGTAATTTGTAATACTTTTCAAACATTAGTGACCATATTTGTAATATTAGCTCACCTGATCCAGAGGCTTATCTGTTGGAAGTCTATCCATCGTCCAGTCTTGTTTTCCGTGTGTCTGTAAACGTTTTGCATTTTCACCTTCTTTTCGACAACCACTTGGCTAATTTCATCCATACTCAAAACAGAGTATCCTTGCGTGTAGAAAATTAAAATTTGTTCAAAGGAAGGGCAAAGACCCTTCCAAAGGGAGATAATAAAGAATACTTCATTGCGTCAGCTAAACTCATTCACCAGGGGATACGTACTCCTCTATGGTATCTGATCCCACATTTGATCTTTTTAAAAGTTTGCTCTGTTCACAATTTGTACTGTTACAATGTACTTTTGAGCTTGATTATTGTTCCTTACTTTCACTTTTCATTACAGTGAGGCTTATATCGGGAATCTGTTGTCATACATGTTTGATTTGTGTATATGGGGAAAAATCTTTAAAACTTTCTTCAAAACAGCAAGGCCACATTAAGTTATGTTGATATTCAGAATTCTCATGAAGTATAATTAATTCAAGTTTGGTAAAGTCATGACCCCCCTTGGCTAGTGTTGGGCCATAATAAGGGGTGAAATTTTTCATGGAAATATAGGCAAAAAAGTCTGAGTCAGTCTTTTATCATCTGCTGTCTTGATCCCGGAAAATTTATAAATATGAATTTAAAAAAGGGATAAAGAATCAATAGTAAGGAGCAAAATGAGACTTTATATATTTCAGAATATGCTGTAGAGGTAGAACAAGTAATCAGAAGAGAAGAGCGTAAGTAATAGCTCAAAAGGTTTCTCAAGTCTTTTTTTGTAATATATTTAGTACGACCATTACTGGAATAAGCAATCTTTAGATAGATAATTCATTTTCTTTGTTAATAATATGTATTGATATCCTATTGCAGCATTTTTCAATAGGACAAACTATCGAGAAAGATGTAAAGAGCGAATTGATGGTGAGTGTAGATCCTTTGAGGTGCATTAAATAAATCTTTGTCAATATGTAAATTTTTACAGAAACCCTACAGTGCAAAACAGTGAATAAAAATAAATAAATGAACTAATAAATAATAAATAAATAAATTTGAATTATATAACAAAACCAGGAATCAAATCCAGAAATCAACAATTTGATAATGTACATTATTATACTTCTGTTAAAATGTTTCCTATATAAAGTTAAGAAGGTAAAATAACTATCTTTTATAGTCTGAAAATTTCCACGCATAGCAAAGCTATACCCCGGGGTATAGTTTTTGTTATTACCTAACCTACTTCATAAATTGTAATTAGGCATTTTGAACTGTTTCCTCATTCATTTAATGTTTTTTGCACATCATGAAACAGTCAAAACTGTTTACCTGGTCACAGAATGAACTGTTGCATGACTGAACTGATCCATTATGACGTCATAATTAATTTCCCATACTTTACAGCTATAATATTGATTTATGTATAAATTGAAGCATTTTCATGGCAATAAATTTGAAATTATCATTTAAAGAGTAATCACGATACCCATATAAATATATATTCAATTTAATATCATTTGAAAGAAGAGGACAAGAACACCTTTCTGAGGGTAATTTTGGGGAAAAAATGTAGACCCTTTCACTCTCTATAGATCTTTGCCTTTTAAAATGTCTGACTCAGTGTGCTACATTCAAACATTCAAGTAATCTTATGTTTCTTATTAAACAATACATGTATACATCAATATTTATTAGGGCATGATAACACTAAGAAATAATGCATACTTTTGTCTATGTGTCTATATCAGTACTTTAAGAAATTATATAGTAGGTTAGGTAATAAAACATTTATTTCATGACAACTCGGGAAACAGTCAAACTGTTGTCCCTCGATAATGGGAAGACCTGGGAAACTGTTGCCCTCGGCCTTCGGCCTCGGGCAACAGTTTCCCAGGTCTTCCCCATTACCTCGGGACAACAGTTTGACTGTTCCCCTCGTAGTCATGAAATAAGTGTATACTATTCACCCCTCGGAAAATTTTCATGCAATTTTTGCCGCCAATTTTGATTTCCTATAATCAGTCTATAGACTGAGCTGATGATGTCATCCTGACTTCAGTAGCATTGTGACGTCATCAAGATTTCAGCTCATTCAGCAGTGCTATCTTATTCAAAATACCTGCTCAAAACTATATTAATTATTCTTTTCATGTTTTGCCTATGAAACTGTAGTATTAGGTAATACAAACCGTCTGAAATTATTATATACATCAGTATAATAAAACGCTTATCCACTGGCTGTGAGTGGGATAGCTCTTTCATCAAACCCTTGACAGGAACTTTTCCCCTCGGGCAAGCCCTCGGGGAATAGTTCCTGTCGCGGGTTTGATAAAAGAGCTATCCCACTCACAAACAGTGGATAAGTGTATATTATTTCTTTATTCGTATATAAAATTACAAGAAAATCCTGGCTTCTTGTAATTGCTAAGTGGCCAAGGTAAATTGAAATTAATGTATAGAAAAACCTTTAAGTGATACGGTCCTAAACTTTAATTTGTGTACATTTCAATGGAGAAAAATACTTCTCACAGAATGTGTTTGTTCTTCTTAGACAATGATATCATGATAATTCTGATACAAAACCTCGCGACTCTTTTGAGAAAAATAAAAATCTTTAAGGTCAAGATATAGTAAACGAAAGGTGCCTACAGATTTCTCAAATTTGAGAAATAAATTCTTTTAATGATGCTTTATAACTTTAGCTTGGTCAGATAAGGTGTTTCGGGGCATAATTTGTAGGTAAACAAGACGAAAAATCATATTTTAAACTCATTTTCAATGAAATTAAGAAAACCAGTCATAAATACGGAAGTTTTTTCCATATCAGACTATGGAAATGTATCCAGATTGCCTACAGTCTCTCAGAAAACGGTAAGTTTTATGTTCTTGGCCTCCTCTTTAAAGTAATATTAAATTGAATATAGGTATCGACTTTTCTATGATTTCTTTTTAGGTCACCTGAGTTTACCCAGGTGCCCTATTGCTATCTGTTTTCGTCCGTCGTAGTGCGTCGTGCGTTAACATTTGAACATTTTCAGCTTCTTCTCTGAAACCGCTCAACCAATTTCAACCAATTTGGCATAAAGCATCTATGGGTAAAGGGAAACAAAAATTGTGAATTTCATGGTCCCTTCCCCCCTGGGGCCTGAGGGATGGGACCAAAACCACTAAAATTAATGCAATCTTTAAAACTCTTCTTCTTTACTCCTGGACATCAAGCAGTCAAACGGTTGGCATAATTGTAAGAAGCATTAAGCCTTTTACCAAAATTGTGAAATTTATGGCCCCAGGGTCAGGGGTTCTTGTGCTAGGGTAGGGCTCTGTTGAATATATTGGGAAAATGCATTATTTCTTTAAAAAAAAAAATATATATATATATATATATATATATATATATATATATATATATATATATATATATATATATATATATATATATATATATATATATATATATATATATATATATATATATATATATCTATCAGGGATGGGGTAATTGAAAAAAGTAATTGTAATTGACTGTAATTAATTACATTTTTTGAAGTAATTGGAAGTAATTTGTAATTGAACATTTTTTCAATTACTTGTAATTGTAATTTAATTAATTACACTGAAAAAATACCATGTAATTTCAATTACTTTTTCAATTACATTCAATTACTTTATATATTTAAATACACATTCATGATATAATGTTACCTCTACCTCCCCATTTTACATGTACTGTTTTTTTAATTGTAAAACATATCCTCAATCCATCAATTAAGCAAAATCTTAAGTTATACTGTTAATGTTTACAAACAAATAATTAAATGATTGGCTTGATAAATAATAATCTAGTTTCTTTCTAATCATTATGTAAATTTGGAATTTTTTGATTTATGTTTATAAATCTGAATTTTGAACCACCCTTCTTAGGTCTATTCAGCTATGAAACACACATTAAATTTCAATTTTTGTTGTTTGATCAATAATAAAGAAAAAGAAGGTGTGTGTCATTAATTAAGTTCTCTCTTAAACTTGTTGGGAAGAGATAATCGCCCTCCAGATCACAGCTGTAAATTGCAATCAAAACAAATCAACTCCTCTAAAGAGATATTCATTCCATGATTTAGAAGACAAAGCCATAGAGATAATTATTTCAATTTAAAATGCTTCGCTAGCTTTAGAAGAGGAAAAAAACCCTTTCAATTTGATAATTATTTTAACATCTAGTAAACAGATTTTTATGAATGAATTTTCTATCTGTACAGGCATTATTTATGAAGTAAAATTGTTCAACATAAATAGCAATTTAGGATGTTCAGGTTACCTTCAAAGGAAATATTCAGTTTGAGGCGTTACAGTTGCCACTCATTTTACTCTATTGAAATTCCCACTTTTAATCAAATATCAAAAGCCACGCAATTTGTGTACATGTAGGTTTTGTTTGGTGGAAACTGCATTAAACTGATCTCGGATATTACTTAAGAGATTCTTTAATGTTTTGTAAATAAATCATATAAATTTAACCACAATGATATACAATACCTATAGCATATTATTTCTTGTACTGTTTGTGCAGAGGCTGGCTTATATACAAATAAATGATGTTCTGTATATTCATTGAAAAGGATTATAAAAATTTTCAGAAAAATTAAAAATTTGATTTGTAATTTAATTAATTACTTTTGCAAAGTAATCGTAATTTAATTAATTACATGTCTAAGCAAGCCTGTAATTTAATTGTAATTTAATTGAAGAAAAACTCAAAGTAATTGTAATTTAATTAATTACTTTTTAAAGTAATTGACCCCATCCCTGATATATATATATATATATATATATATATATATATATATATATATATATATATATATATATATATATATATATATATATATATATATATATATATATATATATATATATATATATATATATATATATATATATATATATTACAACAGTAACCTGACCCGAAGGGCCTTATCAAGTCGAGGCGCAGATCATCAGATCAAAGAAGACACGAAACGTCGACTCAACGAGACGTGATACGGCTCTTCGGATCAGCTTACTGTTCTAATGATTTGTTTATTATATATCCCTCTATATAGTTAGCAAAATATAATAAAAGAAAACTTTTGAAATCAATTATACAACTTATATCCATTCAAAAAAACATTTTTCAAGGGACTCTGATACGCAAGGAAAAAAAGCGTCATGTATATTTTGTACTACGTCATCAGTTTCAGAGAATGGTGATATGGATTCAGAAAACCACAGTGTGGTGATCCGGAAAATCGAATCACACCGTCATATGATTACGTGAAATCAACAGTAAAAATCAATGATACACAATCGGGTATATAATAAAGGTATATATAATATGGAAAGTTGACGCAAAAAAGTTAAAGTCACCACGTTTATCATAATCAATGAAAGGTATTGTCATGTTTTGAAAAAATGAAATGACTGTGAAGTCCTCTCAAAACACTATTCAATCAATATTTCAGTTACTAGTATTTTAGATAAAATTTTGTTCATTTTATACAGTAAACAGTGCTGTGTTTTAGTTTTATTTTAATGAACAAAGTAGTGATTATAAGAAATCACTAAGATCAATTAAACCTGGTTTATAGGTAGACAAAAGCAAGGCTCACATTTGCTTATAATTGTTGATTCTACAGCTTTTTAGAAAAGAAATTTTAAAAATAGTTCAATGTGCTATTCCTCCTACAGTTTTAATTTGATATCAACAAAACTTATTTCGAGTATAGAAAAAATAAGCCCACAAAATTCTGTAAATGCAAACCTATTTTTAAAAAAACGAGAAATTTAAGACAAGGTACTACTTTTAAGACCAAACCAGTAAAGCTAAAGTGTCATTCAGAATTTTCTGGCAAGAGGACTCTGGTTCTAAAGCCTTTATTATAAGAGCCAATCAGTAGAACTACGGTTTCACCAGAGACTTCTGCTTTGTAGATTACACTGGAAAAAGGACGTTGTGTGGCGGCTACTTCCTGAACCCAAAATGTGTTTGTTCTTTCTACATGTACGAATTACAAATATGGGACGTGTGCGATCTTTCGGATCCCAACAAGAATGGTAGCTTGGAACACGTGTCAGGTACATTTTATATGTTCCTACTCCTCAGGTATTTGAAGAAAAATATGTATTAATAATTTGAATACTGAGTTAGTCAAAAGAGTTAGTGCAAGTCTTCAAAGGATTCAAATCTATGGTAAATATTTTTTTTCTTTCCAGTGGACTTCTGTTTAGAATACAGCTTTACAAAAAACGGACCCTGTCAAAACAATGGCACATTAATTCCCTCTTCAAATTTGGCAAAGGATGACGCAAGGTGTAAATGTAAAGAAAACTATACAGGAGAATTTTGCGATATGTATAACGGGGTAAGTTTAATAATTATTTAAGTTCCTGATTAAACTGAAAATGATATTTAAAATGAAGTAATGAATATAAGCAAAATGCAATTTTTCATTTAGAAAATTAAATGTCAAGATACCAACCCAGGTGTGCACTCACCTCAAAGCTGTGATGTAAAGGGATTCAATGGTCGATATTGTTTGCTAAAAGTGAATGGAGTCAGTTTTTGGTGTGATTCGGAGTCCCCTGTTTCAGGTATAGGTTCGAAAAATAAATTGAATCTAATAATTATTGAAATTAGATAATGATATTGAATATTATGTAATATCAAAATTCAACTGAACAATTACTTAGGGAGTCATGGTCTACTTTGTTGAGTATTCAAGGGCATTTTCGACAGTTTGAAACATGGGATATTTTGCATAACGGACGAAACCCTTAATGTAATATAATAAAATTGTTTTTTTTTAATGTAATGTAAGTAAAGATGTCTTTTCTAAGCCTCCTTCTGTATGTAAAGTCAGAGTGACAAATAGTTATCTTACACCAATCACCGAATACATACATGTATGTTATTTGACAAAAAGGGTCGCGCAAAATTTATTATGAAATAGCCCCTCCATTCTGTGTTTGGTGGAGGTATAACTTCTCACTGGTGTCCAGCATTAGGTTGATGATTGAGGAGGGAGAACACAGGCTTTTACTTTAATAATTTTGTACTACATACATATATACATGTACATTTTAAGCCCAACGATATGGTGAAAGTTTGCATACCCCATCTTAAATGATTTCCTATTTTCTATACTTTGAGTAGTTCGTTTATTGGTTGGTAAATGCTACTTTATGTGTGTGTTAAATATCATAGTAATGAAAAATGTAAAAATAATAATAATAATAATAATAATAATAATTATGACAATTTCACTCATCTATGTATTTCTCTCTAGTGAAATCACCAAACGAATTAAAGCTTTCAGTGTCCAGTTTACGGCAGAAATTTTGATAAAAATGAATACTAACAAGTTGCTGTCCTTTAAAAAAGGACTGCAATACGTGGACCATATGCATATGTTTCTAACCGAAATCCAAAGAAAATTTCTAGATTTATTGAATATACATGTAGGTGTAATTAAATTTAATTATCTTTTTACTTGTATTTTGAGATTTTCATCGTTATGTAAGTCTAATTGCTAAATGAAATATGTGGAGATAACGAACAGTATTCGAGCTCAAAAGTCCATTAAACAATTAAAAAATAGGAGCGGAGCAAACACGGACCTCCAAAACATCGGAGGTGGGATAAGGTGCCATGGAGGAGTGAGCATCCCCTGCCGACCGGTCACACCCAACATGTGCTCCCTGTCATGTTCGGGAAAAAAAGCAAAAATCCGTCGACAACTCAGTGTGTAAATAATGGCCTAACAATCAGTACGAAAAAAAAGTCAAATTAAGCTGTAATAATAAAAAAATATGAAATGTTGATACAGGTATCTATCACAACTGTAATGAAGCCTTTAAATTTAACAACAGAATAAAAATAGGTATCGTAATAGTTGGATTATAACTCCATTGGCGGATCCAAAAAGGGGGGTTTCAGGAGAGAGAGAGAGAGATTGTGTGTGTGTGTGTGTTTTCTGTAATATAGATATTATCATGTCTAATAAGTACTTCAATCTCTGCCCTTTGTGCTCGCTAGATAGAGTTTCTATTATTGCTTTCCTCCGTGTACCTTCACAATCCCGGCCCCTGATCTCGGGCCCAACCACACGTAACATGAAAGATTTCACTATGATATCATCAGAAGATTCTGGCGAATGTAAGCTATGCCATTTCTGGACCATCTTCAAGCTGAAGAAGCTAACTTTTAGAAGTATACATAAAAAGTCATTAAAGGGAGTATGCATAAGAGAATATTTATTTCCTTATATTATTAGGATATTTTAATCAATGAAGAGAAAGGTTCAAAATGTCACAGAAGTATGCAGGGGATGGGGACTCACTTTTTCCCTAAAAAAAAAAACAATCTTTTGTTGTAGTTTCAATATTTGTTTTGATTTGCATTGGAAGCTACGGACGCCGGTAGGTGCCAGGTATAAAAATAGTTTATCTGGCGGCCGCTACATAAATGACTGGCGGCCGCCAAATAATTAACTGGTGGCCGCCAGTTATTAATGTGGCGGCCGCCAAATAAAATATTTTTTTCTACCTGGCACCAACTGGCTTCCGTAGGAAGCCTCTCCGCACTTATTCTGCGGGAAGGTCAAAACACGGAAAATCAAACAATCACAAGAAATCATCAAAGTACTGAAAGTACTGGGAAGCGCTAAGCAATGTTTGAAATTCATCAGAATTATTTTGAATTTAAATTGCCTGTTGTATTGGAAGAAGTATTATGTTGACAGTGCGACCGCGCTGGGGCGAGCACAGTTCTTCGATACGTACATATTCACTTTAAAATAAACCGCCTTTTCAAACCGCAAGGGGAAACATTTGAAGGTTCGAGATTCTCCGTTTCTTTAAAAAAAAAAAAACAATATATAAAAATTAAATAACAGATGTTTAGTCCAAACAGTAAGGTATTTCTCAAATCTAATAAAAAAAAAAGAAAGAAACGAAAAAAAAGAACATGTAAAAATATTTTCGTTCTCCGTCGCCTTATAGGAGACTATAAGAGGTAGCTTTGCTTTGTTTGTTTGTTTGTTTGTTTGTTTGTATGTTGTTTAACGTCCCTCTCGAGAATTTTTCACTCATATGGAGACGCCACCACTTGCCAGTGGAGAGCTGCAAATTTTGTCCTATACTCGGCTCTTACGGCCATTGAGCAGTGAGGGATCTTTTTCGTGCCAGCACCTACTGCGACACGGGACCTCGGTTTATAAGGTCTCATCCGAAGAACCGGTCTCCACGTCCCACAGTGGGATTCGAACCCACGACGTAAGGATCAACTCCTTACTCCGCGACTCTAGAGCAGAAGCTCTAACCACTGCGCCACGCGGGCGACGAGGTAGGTTTGCGTATAAATCGCAATTCATTGGAGGGGGGGAGGGTTGACTATATATGTAGCTATAAATTTGCTGGAAAATGTATATTTTTAAATAATTTTGAACACTTGAAAATGTCGCTGATATTCCTCTCATTAATGTGCAATACTGATAGCTAAAATGTTCTGGTGATAATTTTTAATAATTCATTCCGTGTTTACGAGTGTTTCAAATTGAAGATTGGCTGTTTGTGATTGTGAATTAATTTTAGAAAGTGCTCCTAAAAAATAAAAATGTTAATTTTTATTGCGTCGATAAAATATTTCCTTATTGATAACATATTTATTCAAGTTATGAATTAAAGATCTCAAAAATATCGAATACTAGTATTCTCACTTAATTGTTTTAGTATTCCTCTTTTTTTCATATTCATGAGCGATTTTTAAACTTACGAATCTATAGAAAGGATTTTGCAAGAAATACATTAATGGAGTGTGTAAGATATTTACACAATCGCTACGAGCGTCCGGTATTTATTAGTGATAAATAAGACATAGACTATATATTTCATTTTGTTTTGAATATGCTACAGCTGTGCATTATACATTTTTAACACTTCACATTCATCGCGCTGTGCAGCATATCGGCATCGTCATGTGAAAAAAATCTATTCAATGAGCACCCGTAGCGTTTACGTCATTTTGTCAGAGATGATTGGTAAATATACATTTTGATTATAAGGATATTATATTTGTCTTCTTCGTTTGATGATAACACATTCAGAGCTATCCTTTACATCTGATTTTCATATACATGTACATGATTTATGTATTTGCATCAAAAATAAGTCTTTTCTGTTGATCTACAATATATGTATCTGATTTGTAAATTTTACTTTTTTAAAATTAAAAAAAATTATTCTTTTCTTCTTCGGAATAAAAATATGTCATTAAAACCCCAAAAGTAATTTAATTTTTGACTCTTGTTGAAATACTTAAAATGCTTCAATATTTTTTTTTTTTACGGATATTTGATACTTTACACCAATCTTTACTTGTTTATGTATGAAATTAACTACCGCGCAAAACATGTTGAGAGGGAAAAATATCCACAGCACTGGTGTTTTAGATAAAAAGGAATACTAGTACTGAAAATGATTGACCCGTAATTTTCTGCTATTTCCATTATAAATAATTCAACAGCCCAAGAAAAAAAGACATTATATTAATCTCAAGTATGAATAAATCTTTATGAAGGTATGCAACATTGTTTTATTCTGTTTATATGTAGTCCTCATTAAGTCGCTTAGCAGTCAATTCGGCAACACACGCACATCTTAAGCTAAACTATTTCTTTCTAGGTTCCTAACACAAGTATGCTTAACATTTCATCAGCGCTATTCCTGTCCATTGCAAAGAATGTTTAATTAAGGTTTTTGCATATCCGCCAGATCTTGCGCACTGCACACACACAATTTTAAAGCACAATATTTGTCATGAATATTTCCGAGAAATTAGTTTTCCTATCTAAATGGATTCGTTGAAAACACAGCCACCACGTTCCCTACATGTACGTACAGCCGCAAACTGCCTTTCTTTGCGAATTATTTACATCGTATTTTTTTACCCATATTACAAGTATAGAATACAACACAAGTAAAAACAGTTCATGAATGCATTCCAGTCTGTTACTAATTGATACCAAGATGAGAAAATCAACTTCATTGATAGCTCTCTGCATGGTGCAAGGGTGATAATAGGAAGACTTGTTTTTAGTTATATTGTCTGAAATAAGGATCTAGAAGAAGAAATAGTAGTTAATATGAATATAAATTATATAGAACGTACATATGTAGCTACATTGTAAATCAATTTTATGCGAAATTTTCTACTAAATAACTTAATTCCAGTTTGAGTTTTAAATACTTAGTAAAATCCCATTTGAGTTTTAAAAATATGTACTTATTTAATCTTTACATTATATGTACATGACATATAAATAACCGTTTTTAGGTATTTGCGCCATAGATGCAGCAGTTGTTAGCTACATGGTACACAAGATTTTAAATGAACTACAATGTATGGAGATAAGAACCGCCCCTGTCTACTAACAGTGGATTTTCGTACAATGTACATGCATACTCTTTACCTTACTAATTGACTCCTATTATCAGAATTTCACGTAACGCATTATTACACTAAAATAGCCGAAAGAGCGTCGGGGATTTCCAGTTGCATATTTTTAGAAAACCCAGTGGAGTTATCCAACTTGCTTAGTGGCGCTGGATCGCGAACGGAAGTAGATTTAAGATGACAGAAAGCGCTTTGCGCTGCGCTTAGCGCTTAAAAATGTACCGAAAAGTTAGAGGAAGCCCCCCTCCCCCCCCCCCACTCCCCCACCCAAATAGGATTTTACAGAGTAGTTCACAGGTTGCTATTTTTATTTATTTAATTATTATTTTTAAGCGCAAAGCGCTTAATTACTGTTAACCTGAATCTACTTACGTTCGCGATCCAGCGCCACTAAGCAAGTTAGATAACTCCACTGGGTTTTCTAAAAATATGCAACTTGAAATCCCCGACTCTCTTTTGGCTATTTTAATGTAATACTGATTATACGTGCAGTTCTAATAATAGGAGTCAATTAGTAAGGTAAAGATATGCATTCATATTGTACAAAAACTAACTGTTAGTAGATAAGGACGGTTCTTGTCATGTTTATCTCTATACACTGTAGTTTATGGCACGCCGATTGCACCAAAATTATTTTCTGCACAACGATCATGATTTTATACACAAGGTTAATGAAAAATATATACGAGTAAAATAAAAATGCACGTATAGGTAAAAATTGCACACAGTTTGAAAGATTTTTACACAAACATAACGAAAAATACACGAATCCGAATTTATTTTACACGATTAAGGTGTATAAAATGCACAAACGTAAAATCAAAAACTGCACGAGCAGAGGAAACTAAGAATTACACAAACAGTTTTACTGCGCACACAGCTGCGCATATCATTATTATGCACATAGAATATTCATTGTGTTCTTTGTTTTCTGTACTCTTTATCTCTTCATGAATGCTGGATGTAATGGAGAGAAAATGGCGTTGACCATGATATGCATGTTTGTTTGCTTCTTTATTTCTTTGCTAAAATTCGATCCGATTTCTAGCTAATGCCAATCGAACGAATGAAGTGTTTTCTTGTGAACTGTGTGAAAAAAATTAAAAGTTGCTCGGAGATATCATATTTTTCTTACATTGACCGAGATCCTAGCCAAAATATGGAGGTATTATATGATGCCGGACATAAATTGTGGCAAGAAAGAAATGTGTTATAAGCGGGGAAAAAAAGTACCATTGCATATGATGCACTCGACTCCGAACTAAAAGTAATACACAACAAACTCTAAATTCCTAACGATAAACAGATCTTGCTTTAAAAAAATTGATAGAAATATTTAGTTACTTTTTAAATATACGCTCTATGGCCTTTTAAAATTCTCTAACTGATAGATACAACTTTAACGGAAAGTACTTGTATAAAATAAAATTAACACATGCATACTAAAACGATTAATACAGTGGATTCTTCATGAAAATGATGGCAGAATTATTTCTGATTATAATTTATTTTGGTACTTCTCATTTATACTAATTATGAATTCATTTGGGCAGATTTTTTTCATTTAGGAATAGGAAATTATTCAGTTGGCTGGATATATTTTTTATTTTCAAAAAGATTAAAAAGTGGGGATTACCTGACCTTAGATATACACAGTATGTTTTTAAAGTCAAACATAAAAAATATTTTATTTCTAATTATACATGTATCTTTACTTATAAAATATGAGGATATCAATTTTGGTTGGATATCTGTAGCCTACACTGTTATGAATTCCTTCCATGATATCGCATATTTTCAGTCATAAACTACTCAATAAAAGACAAGACATTCCTAAGGGTAAGCGTTACCCTCATTCGTAAATGCGATTACTTGATAAATGTTTTCACTTTAAATAAATAGGACCAAAGGGAAAACATATATACTCTATGTGCTTTAGTACCTGCGGTTTTTGTGATTTGTTACTTAAAAAATTTGTCCAAATGAAATAACAAAACTCTCCTCAAATGATCCTGGTACCGGTAAAACATATCATCAGTGGCGGATCTGGTTCGTGGGTTGATTGAGTCGCAACATCTGAATCTATGTATTTATTAAAGTTTCAAATCATTGGACCATAATGACACATCAGAAATTTTAAAACATAGCGAATTACTAAATATATCTACGTACAATGTTACAAATAAGAAAATGGCAATGGGTATTATAATAAATAGAAAGAACATAGAATGTGTTTTATCGCTCTTAAATAATGCAAGTAAATCATGTTCTTTATGGAGCTCAAATATTTTCCAAGATAACAATTTCTCTTTACATTTCGAATTCGTATGCATAAAATTTTAATTATTTTCCGAACAATAAGTTTTTGTAATAACACTTTTTTTACCCAAATCTATATATAGTCATTATAGAAAGAACATGACTGTATAATTATAAAATGAAAATAATCTTCAATAACATTCAAGGAACATTTGATACAAGATCCACTTTTTAAAAAGACTATTCATGTGCATATCTAACGTTTTTGAAAATTCAGATTATGAGTTAAAAAGCCTAATCTATACAATTTGTATTTTGTACGTATACATGTACAAGTAATTAAAAAGTTTGCTTTATAGCAATATTGTACATGTGTATCAATGGCATCATCCAGGTCTTGTTTTACTTCGAGCATGACTACGAATAAATATAAGAAAACATATGATGAATATAAACCTCAAGAAATCTTGTTTTATTACCGTGTGCAAATTTATTATTGTCAAAATCTGCGTTGAAAATAAATATGCATGTGTAGCCAAGTCCCAGCTAATTAAGTTCATCTTGTATGTCTTCTTGAATTTGGTCTTACAATATCGTTACATGCAGTTCAGTTGAATTGCAATCCTGATTTAGATAAACTATTTTATGTACCCTTAAATTATTAGAAAATATTTCAGGCACGTAGCATCAGGAGGGGTCTGCCCCCACCCTTTTTCCAAACATAACCTACTTCTATTGTATATTTCCACTGAAAAGCTGGTTGCTCCCTCCCTTTGTCGTAGGATAGTTTAAATCAAAGTAAGTTGGTATTATAATGTGTTTCGAAAAGAAAGTGGAAGGTAGAACACTCCTCCCCCACGAAATGGGATTTTCGAGTTTGGACACTTTTCCCTATTTTTTTTTGCTTGTCAAGGTTTATTCAGGTAGGTTGTCAAAAAAAATCTGACTGCCCCCCCCCCCCCCCGCTTTCAAAAACAATACTACGTGCCTGTATTTTATAATTTTAAATTTTCTTAACTCCTTTATATGCATTTTAACTATTCAAAATAGACTACTGCCGATACATTAAAAACAACATTAATTCAACTTTAATTCACATAAGTAAAACGACTGTACATTTTTTTCTACATTTTCATGGAGTTTTTATGAAATCACCACACGTTGCACAAAAGTTAAGACTACACGTACTACATGTACTTTGTTACATACATATATCAAAAAGTGAGATATGCGTTTCAATATTAAAATTTAAGGTGCACAATTATTTGCCCGATTTTCTTTACTGTTGACTTCCAAAAAGTTTTCGGTCAAATTCCACATCCCAGATGATCGCAACATTGCTTCAAAATTTTTGTATGAATTGCTAGTAATATAATCTTTAATCAAAAGGTATTATTGGTGTGTCAAGTAGCTATAAATCGATTAGCGTACAGGTGTCTTTCGTTCCAGAACCAGCAGGGAGGGATCTCTGTATGAAAAGGTCACGCATGCACATCCTTGATTATTACCTAAAGTACACACAGTGGGTGGTGGAGGAGAAGAGTTTGATTTGTTGTTAACTCTCCTGTATTATATCACATTTTTTATTTATTTTTATTTAGGCCTATATGTCATTGTTTAAAACTTTCAAAAGAAATTGCTATAAAGAGGAATGACATACTTTAAAAAATCCAACAATTAAACACACAACTGGCAATACACATCCCCCTTTTTTACGTTGTCTATACAATTATTCTGTGTAGAATGTTTTTTTTTTTTTCGGGGTTGTTCATTTACTACAAGTTTAAGATTGTGTGCCTGTCAATTTATCTACATGTATAATATACGTTGTACATATTCTGGAGAGTCTAGCGGAATTTTAAAAGAATCTTTTTTTAAAAAAAGATTACTAACACGTTACTCCTCCTTTTGTAATTATAGTATGTTTCAAGCATCCAAGCCACATTGAACTGTTCTCTAATGAATATTAATGAAATCTGCGCAATGAGGATGCGTAGCATATTATGTCGATGTTGTATTCTCACTCGTGCAGTTTTCGTTTTTCGTTACGTTTGTGTAATTTCCTCACTATATCATGTAAATATTTTGTTGAATGTGCAGTTTTTCTATAGTTTGCGTAAATTTCAATAGCTTCGTGTATATTTTCCTAACTTTGTGTAAGTTTTTACTTACTCGTGTAATTTTTGTTTTACGTCGTGCAGAAAATAATTTTGAAGCAATCGGCGTGCCATAGTAGTTCATTTAAAATCGTGTCGGCACTCATCACTTGTGTACCATGTAACTAACAATTGCTGTATGTAATACGTGAAGAAAAAAAAATTTAAAAAAGAATTTAAGAAAATCACTCCCCCCCCCCCCCCCAGAAATGCAAATAAAAAGTATTTATCTTCCTACGAATGTTTTAAAATCATTAATTTGTGTGTGCTTTTTTCTCTTTTTTTTCAACAACGGAATAGTGATATAACACCTGCAATCGTAACTTCTCGGCAAAAACAACGTGTTTTCCCGAGGTCTGAGAAGATACGATTGACAAACTCATCGCACGTGTACGCACAGGTGTATGTATGCACTGTTTGCCAGTGACGCAAGACTGGTAACAGTAAGTGCTACGGACATGAAGAACTACATGTATTCACCAGTTTCATAACAAGTGTAGATTTTTTTTTCTTAGAAATCATCTGAGCACAGTGAAAACTCGAGTATATTAAAAGTCGAATATCAAGGATACGGGGTCTTTATAACCTTACAACGACCGTCAGTGCATACATAGACGAGTACATTGTTACTCTGAAAGGTGGCACAGGTTAACCTTTCGTAAACATTTTCAAAAATGATCTGCCTACTTTGAGTAATACATTTAGTACTTTCAAAGCAAAATTGCTAAATTTATTTTATCCCCGATTGGCCTACATAGTACAGTTTTGTCATTTTAAAAAATCGGGGCTGTTTCGATATTTGTAACCCACAACGGCAGGGACTTGACATCTGTTCCGGATTTATACGGAAGATTCTATCATTGGAAAGATAGATGGTACACGTGTAGCAATGTGTAGTACGCAATTTTTTTTCGGAGACTTCTCCCCTCCCCTACATTGAAAAACGTTGCTACAGGCCCTATCAAGCTATATTTGGATAGCTGCATATCAAATTATTTTGCGAGCCTTGATGCACAAAATGAATACCTAGTCGTTGAATTAAGTTTTTAATTTAAGTTGTTAAGCTATCTATATAAGTTCTTCGGTAGAGTCTATTACTTAACCAGTCAAGCAGTTCGGGAAAATTAATTCCCCTCTCCAATCACATAATTTAGAGTCATACCGGAATTTGTTTTTCCGAACTGCCTGACTGGTTAAGTAATAGACTCTTCCGTTACTTCATATTTTTAAAATACTTGTACCATATCATAGAGTGTTTAGTTTGTATATAAAGATATATGTATAAAAGAGAACTTCAGATCTTGGATACGCCAATGAATATATAAATACGATTTGAAGATTTTAAGCGAGGTTTGCCAATGATTGGCATAATCTAATATCGAAAATGGTGAATTATTCTACGGGCAAGTTGTCTAAGAGGCGAACTCTCTACCCTAGCATTCTTGCGCATGTGTAGCCTGACGTAAGCCCATGGCATACCGATTAACCTCGCTCATATATTTTCTGCGTGCTGAGGTCCACGCAATGAGTCTCCTGTTTATAATGTCAGAGTGACAAAACGTGTTATCATACACCAAGCATGAAATTGTACCTAACAAAATCGAATACACACACGTATGCACTTTCGCAAAAGGGTCGGTATTTTAAAGCGCAATTGTTATTGTTAAATACCCATTACAAACGAGGCCCCACCATTCAGTGATGACCGGAAAAGAGATGGGAAAGAGAAATTTATGCATTCATTTAGATTCATTAGACACTAACTCATTTTAAGCTCAGTTGATTCATATATTGTAACGAGCATAACTGACTGTACCCAGCTCAACTGCATTTCTGAATTTTGGAGCAATCGGATTTTAACAATACTCTTTATTGCACCAAGATAGACAAGCTGAACAGAGTTAAAATTTTGAGATGTTTCTGATCGTTCGGATCCAAACAGAAATGTAAGTTTGGAATACGTGACATGTTTGTTATATATGTATTCCTTATCATTCGATGAAGAAAATTAATATCTTAAATTAGTGAAAAGATGTGCAAGACGATATTTAGTATTTTTTTCCCCTTTCTAGTTAACTTCTGTGTATTTCAGCTACACGAAGTACGGACCTTGCCTAAACAATGGCCTATTAAATTCTTCATCAGATTTAAATAAGAATGCAACATACACCTGTGAGAAAAAAAAACTATAAACTAAAAAGAAAAACTATAAAGGTGGTTCTGTGATGAATACTATGGAGTAATTCTATTTACAAAGAATGTTCCTGAATAAGCAGAAAATCACTTTTTAAAAGACTTAGTTCAAACACATTCAAAGGAAAGTAGCTCAATATATTAAATTTCATTTAGAAAATTAAATGCCAAGACACTAACCACTTGTGTCCTCACCTCCAAGGGATTCAATGACCAATTTTGTTTGCTAAATGCATAGGGAGTCAGGTTTTGGAGTGATGCAGAGTCCCCCGTACCAAGTATAAGTTCGGAAAATAAATTTAAGAACTATGTATATTTATGTAATACCAAAATTTAGCTAAACTGAATGTATTGAATCAGCACGACACTGAAGTTTATAATTTGTTTGATAATTTCTCAAAATAGCATACATGAATGAGTGAAAGAGTTCCTTGATGTAAAGTACAAAACCGGTAATTATTAGCATAAATAACGGATCTAGAGTTTAAAAAAGAAGCCAAGATGCAAACACATAGCGCATACCATATACCAGCCAATAATATCACAAATTACATACATGTATAAAACTAGGAAATCATCACATAAGACAAACTCCCACCAATTTGTTGGAGGTAATATACATTACTTCCGTTCAATAAAAAATAAAATGGTAATTTTTTTTAAATAACTGACATGAAAAAAAAACGTTACATGTAATTCCAAGCAGAATCAATGGCCTCCGTTTCGCTCTCTAACAAACAGACCGATTTAAAAAAAAAAAAAACTGTCTGCCCGAACATCCTGCTTTTCATAGAACTCATTTGCAGAGACAAAGAGAATCAAAATGGAACATCAGACATTTTTAAAGCAATTTTTTTCTTTATCAAAATTGTTCGTGTGTATTATAACGTGGTAGATTTATAAAACAGTATCACATGTTGAGACACCATTCGAAAGCCACTTCCGCTAGCCTGTAAGGCCAATTACCAGAAATCCACCATCTTTTGTCTATTAAAATTTATGGATAAAGACCGAGAGTAATAGAGAAAGGGTCAACTCGCCATAAATCCATCTAATGTCATTGAATGTTACTTCATTCTTTCCGAAATTTTAAGTTTACTTGCCTCATGTGCTGAAATGAGCCTCTCTAGCCGAGGTATGTACTACCAACTAAACTGTATTCCTTTAAACATGACGTAGAATTTTCATATGTTCAAATTTTTATCTTTAATGCAATCCATTTAATTTTATTGACAATAAGTATTTCTGGTTGTTGTTTTCTTCTTTTTTATTGTAGCAATCGAATTTTCCTCAATATCAAGATGCAGAAATGTTCTAAGACAATAACAAAATTCAAATGCATTTAATAAATTTGTTAGTTTGCAAAAATACCTACCAAAGGTGTATCAATCAAAATTTTGAAACCGATCTATTCTCCAGTAGCCAAATTTCTTCAAATCACAATTTATTTAGCTGTCTTGTGAAAAGCTAGCTTTCTGGATCTCAAAAGAATCTAATGTCCGTCATTATGTGGGCTGAATTGTAACAGTTGAAGATCAATCCTTCGACAAAAAATGTTGAAAGTTTTAACTACTCCTGACTGAGAAAAATGGTAAAATGCAGCAGAAATTGGATTCAGCTGAATGGGGTCAGGTTTTGAAGCAGCATGTTTATAATCAAGCATATAGACAGTCTTAAGATTAAAACTCTCGAGCTCAAAAAAATTACTATCATCACAATATTTTTTTCTGAAAAGCAATAATCCGCATTTTAGTGACCTGATCAATTCTTATCGACTGTCAATAATGTGTATGTATTTCAAGTATGGAAAATGATTCTCGCTGCTCTTCTGTATAATTTATTTTGTCTTTTGCAAACCTTTTCTTTGCACCACTCCAAACTGTAGAAGATCATATATAGAACACTTTAAGGCATGAATGAACATGAAAGATAGTATCCAACGTAAAACGTTTTCTTCAACTAATTATTTCTTGCATAAAGCATTTTCATGTGTTAGGCATCTAAGGCTTTATTTCGAGAACTTCTAGGAATTTAGCACACGGCTCATTTTCTGAAACTGTATTACCAATTTAATTAATTACTTCTACATTTTCATACCCATAAGCATATTGTTTTATATTGTTACATGTATTTTTTGATTCATAACAAGCTTGTTTTTGATATCTATACCTTTGTGTTGCATGTAATTTTTCCTCAATTAAATCACATTTACGCAATATCTTAAGTTTTCTAAAGTTTTCAATTTCAATCATTTTCACTTATTTCTAATTCAAAACACGACAATTTTCATATTTATGTTGTGATATAAGAGACCAAATCCATCCGTATTTCTAAATTACATAGTAAATGACGTAGTTAACAAGTCTAAGTTCAGAGCATTCTTTTTAAATGTTATAATTTCAGAAATGAAAACTTGTTGAACTGCCGAAATTTCACCCGATGTTAAGCAGCGCAGGTAAAGGTTAAAGTAAATCAATTTTGGGATATTTCTGTATTTCATCCTTTCTTTGATGTAGCAAGAAAAGGAAATTTCTTCTTTTCAAAACGTAAAATCTCAACATTTAAGAATAAATGTTTAAATTGTACAGCAGAAATTCTTTTTAAGTAGTGGCACTTGAAAGATTCTTAGGGTTTTGTAGCTTCATTGAGCCAAAGGCTTACGTGGGCTTTTCTGACCGAAGTTAATTTACCCATTGTCTGTCTGTCTGTCTAATAACTTTAAACTATTTTCATTTTAGGTCACCTGAGTCACTCAGGTGAGCTATTGCTATCTGTGTTTGTCCGTCGTCGTCCGTCGTCTGTTAACATTTGAACATTTTCAGTTTCTTCTCTGAGACCGCTGAACCAATTTCAGCTGTTTTTAGCATATGGCATCTATGGATTAAGGGGTACAAAGTTTGTGAATTTGATCTTCGCTCCTGGGGCCTGAAGAGTGGAGCTAAAGCCATCAAAATTGATGAAATCTTTAAAATTTTTCTTCTTTTTTATATTACTAGACATCGAACAGTTAAAATATTGGCATGGTTGTAATAGGCATTGAGTCCTTTTACCAAAATTGTTAAATTCATGGCCCCTGGTTCAGGAGTTCTGGAGTTAGGGTGGGGCTTTATTGATCATTCAGTGAAAAAGGCATATATTCTTAAAATGCCTTCTTCTCTCCCCAGTATATTTAGCAAACAAAAAATAGCATGGTTATATTGAGCAAGGTTGTCTCTTCGGAAATTTTGGCTTCTCAGTAGATTTTATCACGTACCAATCAGGTTCGTTTCTCAATGAACTTTTTAACCTTGTTATTTTTTACTTATATTTACATTTCAGACGAATATTCGAATAGAGACATTACACGTTTTTGTAACACACAGTGACCTAGAACTGAAAGTTATTTGGTCACGAAAGTTCGCCTAGCTCCAACATTTGAATATTTCGCCGTGTGATTATGGCGCGCTATGCCTCTGACCTAAGTTCATACAGAACTGAGCATTATCTCTTCAATAAGTTCATATAAGGAAAATACCTACAAATGTTAATATATTAAAATGATACAAAAAAACATTATCTTCGTACATTATATACTCTTCGCAAGCCAAGAGAGGCCAATGTGTGATGGAATGTGTAGGGTTTAACACATGTTCTCCAGCACTACTGAATTGTTTCGTCCGCATGATGACAGTGACAGAAGGGAATGTATAAGTACTAGCAAGTAAATTATAATTTATTACAGAGTATTATACTAACATTTTTCATCCCTGATTATCATATTTGCTTTCTTTGGGGCAACAGATCTCACCATCAGTTATTTTGTTTTATTCTTCTGTGGATCCTTTACAGTGTTGTATTATACTCAGGTGATGTGTAAGTCCCATGTGCCTTGTTTTTACTTCTGGGTCATTTGAAACAAGCTTAACGCAGAGTTTCTTTGTTTTGGCAATTAAAGTTTACTCAATTAAAGAGTCATGTCTCTTTAAAAAAAACAATAAAAATCAAAAAACAAAACAAAGAATCGCTTCTCCCCACATCGTCTGGATTTATGTTTTTCAAATTATGAACATTTGGTTCATAAAGTTGAGAAAATCGATCAAATTTCACTATACACGATATATATGGGAAACTCTTCTGTAGGGAGCAAGGCGATATTAGTTATACTGGTACTGGGAATCCCCTTGTAGTGTGGATACACGTTTGGTTAGGTCATGAGTTCTTGGGACTAGAGAAGGCCACAATACGGTTTCAAAATTCTAAAGGGATGACAATGGGAAACAAATCCTTGAATTATCTTCTTGGAAATGAAAGGTGCATGGTGACTGAGGTGAGCCTTATGACGCTTGAACCTTTTGATTGAAAAATGAAAATGTTGAAACAACAAACCTGTGTAAGAATGTTTAGTTTTTTTTACCATATACGTTTAATGTCGTCAGCGTTACAATGAAGAAATACATGTTAATTACATTACATTTGTTGTGTTGTTTAAATATATTGTTTCTTTCAGCTGCAAAACCTCATAGAAGAAGAACTGAGTGAACACGAGACTATCCCTAGAAGAATTCATCCACAAGATCCACTCAGATGTTTATAAAGATACATATGAATAACACCATTCTCTTTAAATCACATATTTGATTGTGACACGTTTATAATCGCTCAGAATAAGACCAACTCTGCATTTGGATTCATCGGTAATACATGTTTTGTGTACCTATTGATGATTTTCCTTGTTATTTTTTAATTTTACGATTAATTGTATAAGGGGGATTACCAGCATTCCATCATATGGAATTTTTTTTCATTCCTTACTGTTTATCATTTGTCATTTTAACTTTTTAAGACATGAAAAGATGTTTCAAAAATTCTGTTTATCAAGCTCTTTAATTCTTATTGTTTAAATTCTTTGTAAAGCGAGAGAACCTTTCCTTAGTCTACATATTCATGTAAGTAGATCTATAATATGAATTATGCAAAAAATTATTTTCAGAGATGCGAGGAATCTGTGGATTTCCTATGTTCCAAACAAGTCCAGGACCGTGTTTTGTAGGAGGCGTAGTCCATTAGAAACTTTTTTTGGTTTTAGCAAATTTAAGACTACCAAGTAATGCCAGTAGAGGAAAGAAAATGGTTGCAGATATCAAGGAAACTCGAGTTTAATCTTAAAGACTCAAATTGCCAGTATTTTGAAGAGGACGGTTATAATTAGGGAATATCAAGCTCATTAACCCTAACGCAACATGACTAAAATACAATTTATCTTTATATATGCATATTCTATTAGCTGTCAATATTTACGTATAATAGTTTTTCCTTTTGGTTGGTTTGAAGTAGAAAATTAATATATAACTTAATTTTGCACTCTGAAACACATGTCAATTTAATAAATAATTTAACTTTTACTTGTAGACTAGTGTACATTGTACATACTGTGTACTGAACTACGACTTCAATACCCCCTTTTTAGACAAAAGCTGTTTAGATTCATTTAGATAGGTCAGAAGCCATTCTATCATTATTTTGTTTTCTAGAAAGTCACTTAAATTGAGCATTTGAATTTGAAATTTGTCTTATTAAAATATTTACAAAGACCTCATTGAAGTTATACCTGGTCTTGTTTTTCCCTTATAAGTCAATGACATGTACTTTTTAAGTACCATATTAAACATAAGTATTATTCTTTGAAATGAACTAATTTAGTATTTCTAACGTTTGATTACGGTCTTTTGCGCTGTTCCATACAGGTTAAAGTTATAACAATTCAAGAAGTCATCATGAGTGGACATAACGATTAGTAATCAAGCCCAAAATTCCATTGAAACAATACAAAAACTCTCAAAAATTGATACTCTCATAGTATTGGAAGTAACATTTGGCAGTTTCTTATTTTGGTTATAGTTATAGACTGTTTATTGTCTTATTTGCTATACTGTAAAGGTGGAATAAATTGCAACGGTTTTATTTTGATCAAAGAATTTTTCGCAAAAATTAATTCGTCGTGAATTTTGTTGACATATCAATGTAGCATTTACTTATTTATTACATTTTCAAAAGCGAAATACTGTAATTTATTTATTGAATAAAAGTGATATTCCGACACAGATTGAAAGTGATATTTTGTAACAGTGTGAAAGAATATCAGAAATATGGTAAAACCCTCAATTTTCCTTCTCTACACGAAGATTGTTGTAAGAAATACTCCCTGTTATAAAAAAGAGAGAGTAAATAAACCATCCTGAAGAGACCGAAATTGTAAATGCAAAAGTTTCTCCAAATACTTGCTTCTTAAGGACGCTTCCTGTCCCACTGGCGAAATAAGTTCTATATCCAACAATAAAATACTGAAAATCCTTTATCTATACACTTTAAAATGTGAAATTTCTTATTCTCAAGGTAAAGAGCTCCATATGTAGGTCCCAATCCATATACTAAGAACAAACTTGTCAAATTTTCAAATTTGAAATAAATTAAAAAAATCAAAAACTTTTCACCAAGTGTTTGGAACTGAATAATACACAAACTTCCATCTACATGTGTTCAGGCCTGGACACAGTTTGAACTTAATATTTTTTCAAAGAAAATGGGCGTATTTGTGTGTGATCTACAAGAATCATGTGTATGAAACATTCATAGTTAAAATGTCCACGATTTGGTCGGCTGACCACATCTGGACAGGCTTTACAAAGTTACGCACATAGGAAAATGTTTTAGTCTGAAATAACATGTTTAATTTTAATATCTTAATAATCAAATTATAACACAATAATGCTCATCGTCGGAACCCACGGGTTTTCTCTCCGTTACACTACATGTTGAATGTAGTGTAACGGAGAGAAAACCCGTGGGTTCCGACGATAAGTAAATAAATGCTTCACATAAATAATTAACACCTACAAGATAATTCGGGTATACATGTAGTTAAATGCAATTACAAGTACATGTGTATATTAAAGTATCAGTAGGTTGGAAGAATTACTTTCGCTCTCGATGCAACAGAACCAGATTTTATCATCGCTACACATAAAAAATGGATTTTAAAACGACAATGAAGCACCGCATTGACGCATTGGAGTTTTCTTTGAAAAAAATTGATTTTATGGTGTCTGGGTCTTCTGTCCATTTTTTTTTTAAAAATGATTAATTGTTTCTTTGAATTAGAATGCATACAAATAACGTTTGAAAATCAGAGAGATAACCCAGAGATAGAACATTTTTAGAAAAACGCGTTAAAAAAAGTGACATTTTGTACCAAATGAATCATCTCGCCTTTTTTCAAGTTTGGGAAATCAAAACATATTTCCCTTTCCTATTTCACAGGAACCCTGTGAATTTTTTCAAGAATGCTAAAAATTTCATGTGACAGAACAATGAAATTTTAACTTTTCAAGTGCGCCCAAATTCCTGCCGAATGCCAATCAAAAGTGCCTTTGTTCTTTTCTGTATAATATCATAACTTATATGCTGCTATAGCATTTCAGACTAAAATAAAATAAAAAAAATTATTTTATCTGGAAATTATTGAAACTACGAATTTCGGGACTTGTTTGACACATTCTTGCACTTTCACAAAGTAAACTTTATCCTTAATACTTAAGAAAAGTAGAAATTTTGTTGTTTTCTCATGAAAAATATTAAAACCATAATCTAGAAAATTCAGATAGCAAAACCAACTCACCAGTATTATCAGTCCGTGCTCAGTGATGCATGCAGAGTTTAACAAATTAAACACCTGGTGAAACGTAAACTGTTTTTGGAAACAGGGCAAGCGCTCTGTTATTGGTAATGTTTAACTTTCACCGTGTGTGTTCAATTTGTTAAATTGTTAATTAATTAACGAATTAAATCAAATTAATTGAACCGCGAATTAATTTTTAAATTTGATAAATATATAAGGAAAATTGCTTTAAAACCTCTTCAAAAAGCTGCATGGGAGTTAGCTTTATTACTATGCAAACATCTTCATAAAAGGAAGAATCCATTTTGTCCAAATCACGTCCCCAGAGCTAGGGAAGAACCAGGAAAAAGGATTGAAGTTTTACATGCGTGGGTCCAGGAAATTTTCACTGGGGGGATCCAAACCCACTTAAGAACAGATAATACGAACAAAGCTTTTTTCAAAAATCTTGTAAATTACAACTTAATTCATGTTTATATAAGTAAAATAAATAAGTTTAACCGCATAGATTTTTTAATTTCATTTGGGATCAGGTGCCATGGAGGAGTGGAAATCCCCTGCCGACCGGTCACACCCGCCTTGTGCACCCTGTCATGATCGGGAAAAACGGAAAAATCCGTAGACAATTCAGTGTGTAAATAAATTAAATGGCCTAACAATTAGTACGAAAAACGTCAGTCAGCATGTGACATAATGATAGATTTTATTTATCACAATTGTATCGACCATAGAATTTGCGAAATGGTGACTTTAGCCGAGACTGTTGATATTCTTGTTTCATAAACTTGTTTGTCAATAGGTTGCCTCGTTTTAGAAATTATTATTCCATAGAGCATGCTCTTACGTAATGTATCAACCGAGAGGCATAAACCCCATATCCAGATGATAAGGTATATTGCTACATAAGTAAGGGAAGGTGACGATTGAAAAGTTGAAGTCATCACGTTTATCATAAAGCTTGATTATTAGGTTATCATTAACGTCTTTTTTAGGTCACCTGAGTCACTCAGGTGACCTATTGCTATCCGTTCTCGTCCGTCGGCGTGCGTCGTGCGTCGTGTGTTAACATTTGAACATTTTTAGCTTCTTCTCTGAAACCGCTTAACCAATTTCAACCAAATTTGGCATATAGCATCTATGGGTGAAGGGGAACAAAAATTGTGAATTTCATGGTCCCTGCCCCCCTGGGGCCTGAGGGGTGGGGCTAAAACCACCAAAAATAATGCAATCTTTAAAAATCTTCTTCTTTACTCCAGGACATCAAGCAGTCAAACTGTTGACATTATTGTAACAAGCATTGAGCCCTCTACCAAAATTGTGAAATTCATGGCCCCAGGGTCAGGGGTTCTGGCCCCAGGGTGGGGCTATATAGATCATATAGTGAAAGTGCATTATTTCTTTGAAAATCTTCTTCTCTGCTCCTGAGTATTAAATAAAGTAACTAAGTACATAGTTATGAAGAGCAAGAGTGCCTCTTCCAAAATTGTGAAATTCATGGCCCCAGGGTCAGGGGTTCTGGTGTTAGGATGGGGCTCTATTGATTATATAGTGAAAATGCATTAATTCTTTGAAAATCTTCTTCTGTGCTCCTGGGTATTAAATAAAGTAACTAAGTACATAGTTATGATGAGCAAGAATGCCTCTTCCGAAATTGTGAAATTCATGGCCTCAGGGTCAGGGGTTCTGGCCCCAGGGTTGGGCTATATAGATCATATAGTGAAAGTGCATTATTTCTTTGAAAATCTTCTTCTCTGCTCCTGGGTATTATTTAAACAAACTAAGTGCATTGTTTTGATGCATTAGCATCAAAAATTCTGAATTTCATGGCCCCAGGGCCAGGGGTTCTGGTGTTAGGGCGGGGCTCTATTGATTATATAGTGAAAATGCATTGATTCTTTGAAAATCTTCTTCTGTGCTACTGGATATTATCTAAACAAACTAAGTGCATGATTATTATAGGCAAGGATGCCTCTTCCAAAATTTTTAAATATATGGCCTCAGTTTTTGGGGTTCTTGAGGAAGGGGGGGGGGGCTCTATTGATTATATAGTGAAAAAGCATTAATTCTATTAATTAATCGGTAATTAATCCTTTCTGCTCCTTAGCGTTGAGCTGATAAATAAATTGCTTAGCTATGATGAAAATGGGAGTTTCGAACAGAATTTTTAAATCTTGTGGTCCTAGGGTCAGGGGTTCTGGTATAAGGGGGGGGGGGGGCTTTTGATAATATAGTGGAAAAGTGTTAATACTTCGAAGTCCATAGTTATGATGATGAGGGTAACTCTTCCAAATTTGTAAATTTCTTGACCCTTGGTCTTGGGTTCTGGTGTTAGGGTAAGGCTTTGTTGAATCTGTAATGAAAATGCATTGTACCTGTGAAATTCTTCTCTGCTTCTGGGCATATCGGAAGAAAACTGAGTAAAAGTTTAAATGATATAAGTAAGCGTATTTTTACCAGATTTTTTAACATCTGGACCATTTGTCTAAGCATTCTAGTCCTGGGCAGGGCTCTATTAATTTGTATTCTACTGAGAGAAGTTATTCCCCTTTTCCGTTCACCTTTGATAGTTAATCACTGTAAATAATGTATTTGAAAGGTTAATAGAATAAGATAATTATGCAAGAATGTTTATCATATAATTCAAAAAGTATTTTCTTAGTTTTAATAATCAGGTAGACCTGTAAGTAATAG